CTGGGTGACTCAGTTCCCCAGCCCAGTAGATTGGGGTAGCACTGGGCTACCTCGCAGGGATGTTGGGAGGATAAAATCCATTGAGGTCTGTGAGGTGCTCAGACACTATGGTGGTGAGGGCCGTGTAAGGCCTTGGGCAGATCCATTCACCTCCCACTTGCTGCCCACCCACCCCTGGGCAGGATGCTCAGACGAGAGAGTCAAGAAAATCTTCACTCCAATGGCTCTAGCTGTATCACACGCTACTAACTGGCTGAACGATCCATCTGTGGATAAGTTAGTTGATTATTTTCTCAGTAACATAAGTTTGGAGCTTACAAGAGTAGAGGAGGGGACTCATGACACAGTTTTGACACAATCCTGGGTCACACAGAGAGAACCATTCAATACAGGACCCACAGCAATAGAGCTCCCAACGCGCAGTGTAACAAACCTGTGTCCTGCAGCCAACAGACAGAGCTTCTCTATAGCTCACACGTACTTGTTGGGAGCCAGGAGAAAAAAACTCAGCTCCTTCAGCTCCAAACCACAGGCCTGTAGCACCTGTGCTAAGGGAAAACTCCCTTAACGAGCAGTGGTATAAGGCCCCTTATCCTGTGTGTGGGCTGCAGTCACACGAGGGCACTATGATCTCTCTTACACGCACCCACAGCCGGGACATTACAGGAGCCCTGTGCCACTTTGTTCCGCTCCCATGGATTCCACTCATCACTAGCACAGCCTCGTTCTTTGCCCAGCGAAGTCTGATTAGTCTCTTCTGTTCACCAGCCCCTGATATGAAAACAAGGGGTCAGTGAATTAACAGGTGAGACATTGAGAAGGAACAGAAGAAAATGCTTCTTCACACAGGTCCAAAGTCAGGCCTAGCATGAGCAGAGGCAACGCCCGTTGCTCTGGAGCCATTTGATCCAATACCCTGTGCAGAGTCTCCAGACCTCAGCCACTTGTCCCTGTGAGCTCGTGTGTCCCCATTCACTCAGCTCTGTGGCCCTGGTCAGGAAATTAGTGCAGTTAGAGGAAAAGAGCAACGGCTGGTGACAATCAATGCACTTAGTGCTGGACACATACATGGGAAACAAGTCATTAGAACCAGTGTTTGGTGGTGCATGTTCTTGATGCTCTCCCTGCAAAGGGAAGAGAATAGACTGGGATCCCGACGAGGGGCAGAGTTAAGGAGATTTGGTATTTTGCTTTTGAAATGCAACCTTCCTTCTCCATTGACAAGCCTCCCCAGTGTTCAGGAGGTATTTTGATGTCTCTCTCTGTTGGAACAAGGGCTGCTAAGGATTTTAATAAAATCAAAGGCTAGGTGCCCAGCAGTCATGTGACACCCTGCACTAAGGGCATCAGAGCCAGTGACCCACCGTAGCAGCATAAATTCCAAAGCTAGGAATGCTGGGAATTAGCCTTTAACTAACTGATCTTTGGTGCTGAGGACATACTTGCAATGGGGATGTAGACGCCTAACAACGCAGACAGGTGCCTGGGGGGATTTTCAAAAGCACCTGGCAGGTTAGGTGCCTAACTCCCAATGGGAAAATCCCACCAGGCACCTGTCTGCTTCTCCAGTGCCTAAATACCTTGGGGAAATCTGTCACTGGCCCAGGAGCAGGCAGGGTACAAAGCTGAACTCAGTCACCGGGCCCCAAGGCTCACAGCCAAACCACTGGAACAGCTTTCGTCCCAGTTTTGACTCGTTCTCTCTTTTTTTGCTAAGAAGTGCTAAGAATACCCGATCCCCTCCAATAGCGGAAGTTTTTACCGCTGCTGAACCCCCCCCCCCTTTTTAGTGTGTTGTCACTCAGGATCCCTTTGTCAGATTCATTTAAAATTCTATTGTAAATTTCTACCTTAACTCCGGATTTTTACATGTCAGTTTAGAGACTCAATTTCAACCCAGCGATGTCGATTTTAGCATTAATCCTCTCATCGGGGAGGAGTAAAGAAATAGATTTTAAGAGCCTTTTAAGTCGACAAAAATGGCTTCGTCGTGTGGATAGGTGCAGGGTTAAATCGTCCTATTGCTGCTAAATTCAACCTAAACTCGTAGTGTAGACCAGGGCTAAGGAAATTCTTTGGCTTCCTGTTGGGAAAATACTAATCCTTTTCTGGGATTTCACGTGTCACACATTGTGTGGGCCCTTCCATCCCCAGAAGAACAGAGGGGTGTCTCTCCTGGCATTCCTATGGGGGCAGAGTTAAGGTTATGTGCTTGAGCTGAGTGGAAAGTGTCACCTTAACTCCACCTTTCACATTTCCTGCCCAAACTCCCACTGGACCTTCACATGTGAGCTGATGTCTATCTACTGTCTAAACTAACCGTACATGGAATATCTCATTGTCTTTTCGCAGGCAGGCTGAGCAGTGCACTGGAGCTGCCATGGCTGGGGATAGATGCTAAAGGGCTTCCCAAGCTACCTAAAGAGCATATGGAAGCACTGAAGGCTGCTTTGGGGGAAGGAAACTTCACCGAAGCAGCTGCTAAAGCGAAAGAGGCTCTGGAAAAGGCTGATAAAATCACTATCAACATCGCTGTCACGGGGGAGGCGGGCTCTGGAAAATCGTCCTTTGTCAACGCCATCAGGGGCCTGAAGGATAGAGTTCATGGTGCTGCTGCGATAGGGGTCACTGAAATGACAATGGAGGCCATTGCTTACCCACATCCTACATACCCAAATGTAACAGTCTGGGATCTGCCAGGGATCGGGACCCAAAAATTTAAACCAGACAAGTATCTCGAGAAGGTGGAGTTCAGCCTCTATGACTTTTTCATCATCATCTCCTGCACCCGCTTCAAATACCACGATATTGAACTCGCCCAGGAGATCCAGAGACTGGGGAAGAAGTTTTACTTTGTGCGCCCCAAGGTTGATCAGGATTTGACAAATGAAAAACGACACTATGAGGAGGAGGGAATCCTGAATCAGAGCAATGCTTCCGTGAAAAGTCCATCTCAGTACAGTGAGAGTGCGATACTCAATACTATCAGAGAGGACTGCATCGAAGGCCTGGAAGCAGGAGGGATGGCCTCCTCACGGGTTTTTCTTGTATCTAGAGGGGACTTAGGCAAGTACGATTACCCCAAATTGCAGGAAACGCTTGTGGATGAGCTCCCCGGTCACAAGAGACTGACTCTCCTACGATCCCTGTCCAATGTTTCTAAAGAAACTTTGGAGAAGAAAAAAGAACAACTGCAAACGCAGATATGGTGGAAAAGTCTGGTGTCATGTGGCATCGCTGCTGTCCCTATCCCCGGTCTCTCCATTGCTTGTGATGTTGCCATGCTGGTGACGTCCCTGAAAGAGTTCTGCAGGGACTTCGGCCTTGATGAAAACTCTCTCTCTGCACTTGCTAGACGGACTAAGGTTCCCATTGCAGAGCTGAAGGCCGTTATAAAGTCCCCACTGAGTGAAAAAATAACAAAAGATCTTGTAATTGAGATACTGACGAAGTGCACAGCTGGGGCAGTGCAATATTCAACAATTGCATTAAAATGTATACCTGTGGTAGGATCTGTGGTAGCTGCAGCAGTTTCTCTCCCTACCACATACTTCATGTTGCAGAATTTCCTGGATGCTGCTGCTGCTGACACTGTACGAGTTCTGGAGGTGGTTATGGAGGCAGCCATTTCAAACTTCGAGAAAAAGCGCAAAAACACCCGAACCCCCTGAAAGGATGAAACGTCAGCACGTGGTAAAGACCCTGTCCCAGATGGAGCTCGGAGCTCAAAGCTGTGGGAAGTCTCGTGAAAATTGTTGCCTTTCTGCATCAGGTGTGAAAGGTTACCATATATGAGCTCAGAGCTCCATTTCCACTGAGGTCTCCTACCCACCATAACATACTGAATTTAATTCAGCCATAAAATGGGCAGGGGAGGGGTCCTGACTGACCCTGTTCTTTGTTTTGTCTTTATTTCCCCAGCGAACAAGGCCAAGTTGTGATAAAGCTCCCCAGGGTCCCCAGTGCCTCACCTGCTCTGCAGGGAGCTCAGGGAATGGTTATTTCAGGCCCCAGCCGAGAGCAGGGCCAGGGCGGAGCCCATCGAACTCTTCACTGGGAAACGACAGGGAGCGACACCAGCAATGACTCGTTCTAGCCACAGATTTTCAGCGTCTTGGTTCCCGTTGCCCTGAAATTGCAGCCTGGGCAGGCACCACGTTGGGCATGTGGTTAAATTCACTCAGACACAATCGTAAAAACCCTAATTCCTGACGTGACTTGGGTGACGACCCCCCAGTGCCAACCCCTCCCACGTCACTGCAGGGCCCCAGGCAAATGAAACAGGCTTTTTAGCTCAGATGCTTTCGCACTTTCCCCCAGGCTGCCCCTGTCCAGGGAGGAGCTTCCTGTAACCTCCCACAGAGCCCCCGGACTGACCTCCTGCGAATGCCTCCTTCAGCCTCACCCCGGCCATGGACCCTGTGGATCACTTGACAATGGATGAGCTCATTGCGTTATCCTAACCATCTCCCTGCTCCCTTGTGCTCCCCTGTCTGCCCGGAGCACCCGCCTGCTGGGTCTAGTCTTAGATTGTCGCTCTCGGGGACAGGGCCCGTCCTTTTCTTCTGTGTGTACAGCACCTAGCGCAACAGGGCCATCTCCTGACAGGTGTCCTAGGTTCTCCTGTGAGACAATAAAGAAATGCTTCAGAGTAGCAGCCGTGTTAGTCTGTATCCGCAAAAAGAAGAA